CCCGACTCACCGCCTGCCTGGCGGGCGGCTCAGGCTTGAGGCTCCACAAAAAAAAAAAAAAAAAAAAGGGCTTGGGAGAGGTTTCTTTTTCTAGGGTAGGGGGCTTGTTCCTTTTTTTAGGGAGGGGGTCAAGGGCTGGGGGCTTGGTTATTATACAACCTGCAATGAGGTCCACTGGTGATCAAGCATCTGCTTCCCCAGTCTAGTCACCACTGCAGAGGCTTCAAGGAGGGGCACCCCAGGCAGCCAGATTTCTGAGGACCCCTCTTGTTGGGTGACCTAAGCCCCAGGTGCTAGGCATACTGCTTTTTGGAAGCAGAGCTGTGTGGGCAACTCGGGATTTCCAGCCACCCTGGGGTGGAGGGTCCTGGGAGAGGAGTGGCCTGGAAGAAGCCAGCCTCTCCTATGTGGTCAGGTTGGTCCAGTTCTGCTTGCTGGATGAAAGCCCATTGTAGGTGGGCATGACGGGGATGAGAACCCTTGGCCCATGGGGAAGAAGTAGATGATGAAGTGGTCTGTGGAGGGCTCTGAGGAGTATCTTGCCCTGAGTGGGGTGTCCTGGCTCTTCTGGGCCGCCTTCTTTGGGGCCTTTTTCTTCCAGGCCTTCTTTTTCTGGGCCTTCTTCTCTCGGCTGACTCTTGGAACAGCAGGTGCACCAGGTCCAGTATGTTCAGCACCAGGGACATGAGTCTGACCACTAGCATGAAGATCATGAACTCGGTCTTTGCTAAGGGGTGAGAGACAAAACATTCCACGAGGTAGGGACAGGGTGCTCGCTGGCACACAAACACGGGCTTCATGGTCCAGCCATAGATGTGCCACTGACCATAGAGGAAGCCTAGCTCTAGCACGCTCTTACAGAGCACAGTGGCCACATAAGTGATCATCAGTGCTCCACAAATCCCCAGGCGACCACCTTCTGTCCCTGAGATGCTGGACATCTGATGCTCTATGGTCTCCAGTGCCTGCTCCGTCTGTGGGTTCTTGCATGGCAGTGCCTGCAGCTCCCCATCCTTCTGCTGCTGCTGTTGCTTCTGCCGAGATTGGTACATGACGTGGCCCAGGTAGACCAGGGTGGGGGTGCTGATGAAGAGGAACTGCAGCACCCAGTAATGGATGGGGGAGATGGGGAAGGCCCGGTTATAGCAGACATTGGTGTAGCTTGGCTCGGTTGTGTTACACTTGAAATCCAACTGCTCATCACCCCACACCCACTTGGTGGCCAGGGCAAAGATGAGGATGCGGATTATGATCACCGTCAACCAGATTTGGCCCACCACAGTTGAGTGCTCCTTGACCTGGTCCAGCAGCTTCTTGAAGAAGTCCCAGTCAATCATGGCTGCCAGGCCTCCATCCGCAGGGAGATAGAGCATCAGTATGTCAGCGCAACATCCTCCTCATTTGGCCCTGGCAGCAAGCCTGCAGGAGGGCTGCCATGCCCACTCTACCTCCAAGGACCCCCAGACTCAGGAAGGTGAAGGACTGGCCTGGGTGCTAATGCTCCGCAGGGCCAGAGGGACCCAAAGTGGATCTTTGTGGGATGGCTGCCATGCTCTTTTCATGGCCTCCATCTGCTTCTCTGAATGGCCTGGATAAGGTTGGGCTTCCTGCCTAATCACGTCTATGTCCTTCTTGACCCTAACCAGAGCCCCAGATGGCCACAGCCCAAGGAGATGTGGATCAAGTTGAAGGTCCTTTGCCTATAGGGCTCCCAGCAGAGAATTTGAGGGACTTATCCAAGGGAGCCCAGGTGTGCTGCCCCTCCTCCATTTTACCCAAGGCTGGGGACCTCCAGACGGTGGGGGATGGTGGTGGTAGAGGTGTTATCAGCAGCTTCTTAGGCACTCAAAGTCTCAGGTCCCTGCCCCCATCCCTATATCTCACCTGCTGGCCTCACTGTAACCTTTGAGCTTATGTGAGGGGTTTTCAGAAGCTGAAGGCAGCATCTTCGTTGGCTCTATGTGTCAGCAATAAGGAACAGCTTAAGTAGTTAGACTTGGTCCTGTCCTCTGCCTCCACCCTCACACTTCCCCTCCAAAGTTATTCCTGACTGATTCTTCAGTCCCCTCTCTGGTCAAGGGCAAACAATAGTATTTCCGCCTCCCAGGGCGCTCTACGGATCCAAGGAGAAGACAGTAAAAGCCCGACTTAGCACGGAGCCTGGCCAAAGGCAAGCTGGGAGAGCGACAGGCGTTCTGTGTCCGGCAGCAACCCTCAGTCCCCACTGCAGCAGCACCCGCGTTCTGGTCCCACCGCCCGCTGGCAGGTGGCGCCCGTGCCTCC